ACAAATATGGTCTTGTCGAATATCCTCTCTGCCCAGCTTGTAGAGAAGAGGAGGAAACACTTTTTCACTTCCTGGTATGATGTCCAGTGTTTTCTGTCCCTAGAAACAAATTCCTTGGGTTTCCCTATATCAGCTTTGATCAGGCCCTTCTATACAAAGGGCTGTCTGGCATAATAGGGTTCCTAATGTATACTAAAACCTACAGGTAAGGTATACAAAGGGCTGTCTGGCATAATAGGGTTCCTGATGTGTACTAAATACCTACAGGTAAGGTGAATTTGAAACCACAAGAAATAAGGATTGAGGTGCCTTGTGAGTTCTTTTTTTTTTTTTTTTTTTAATATATATAAAAGAAAATATGCAGGGATCTCCCTCTCATAGCTGTGTTTTGGAACATAATTTGGAAATAAATATTAAATCTTTATACACCACCTGGCCACTTGGCTTAAGAAAGTACCTCTGCCCTCCTTATTTCATTTTTTATTTTTTTTTTTTTTTTTCAGACTTGCCATCGCATCCTTGTTTGGTCAAGAGTTTGCGTTTGGTGGTTTCGGAGGGATTGAATTGGCTCTTGATCCTATTGGGAAGTTTTTAACGATTTAACCGACACCGTGAATTTAGAAATAGGATTTTTTGCTGATACTATATATTTGGTGTCAATTTGGGATCTTATCTACTTATTTATTATTTACCTTTCACTGGAATTACCAATTAAAATTTTTGTCTTAAATGATCAAATGGCGGAAGAGCAATGGGCAACATTGCCTAAGCTCTTTTCCTTCTTTTCATAAGAAGGAAGCGCCACTAATGTTATGTTACGTTACCTCAGTAAGTTTCAAAGTCCTAGATGTGCGGTGGTTTCACACAGCAACCACCACCCACAGAACAATGGGCAAGAGTAGATTTTTTTTTTAAATTCATATATTATTTGTCTCTAGGATCATAATATTCAATTTCTAGAGTTTTTATTAAAAAAATTATAAAAATAATATTGTGCATCAAAGGGTTAACAAATATTCAAATTAATTTTAATAAAAATTTCAATTTATGTGCTAACCATCCACTGGGAGACAGCTGATCTTTAAAGTTTTTCAAAATGGATTTATGTTTTAAATCTGTAATGTGATTAATACATAATGACCTTATGTCTTAGCTATGTATTTGGGGATGGTTAGTGCACAAAGCAATTTTTTGTTAGATGTGGATTATGTCAGCCATTCAGTAGAGCAGCAGTGGCCAACCTTGTGCTCCTGAGCACAAGTGTGCTCACCGTTCGTTTTGTATATGCAAAACATATTTGTATATGCATCCCGATTAGGTACTATGAACAAAAAATATTTTTTAAATAACCATTCATTTATATTTCTTAATCTATCTTAATCAGGGAATCTTACGGCTTCATTCCGATGTTAGATGGCTCAGCAGGGAAAAAATACTTCAACAATTTGTAGAACTTTTTTGCCAATAAATCAGTTTTTGGAATCTGGAAACGAAAGTTATAAAGAATTGGATGATAATAATTGGTTATCTGATCTGTATTTTATCATGGATATGACAACTAAACAAACTGAACGAAGATCTCCTGGAAAAAGGAAAAAAACCTTTTTCAATTGACTGGGACTGTAACTGCTTTTCAAGTAAAGTTAAATTTGTGGATAAATCAGATGAAAGAAAAAAAAAAAAAAAAAATTTACCCATTTCCAGAATTTATCAAGCCATATTAATAACCACAAGGCAATTGAAGCTGAGAAATACTCAGAAAACCTAAATGCACTGAAAAATAATTTTGAACTTTGCTTCTCTGATTTCCATAAAGTTCAACCAATATTATTATTTGTCCAAACCCATTTTCCAAAATTAATATTTCAGATGTATCACATAGGACTGAAAATATGTTTAACAAAAATGTTGCTGTTTTGGAAATGTGCTCGCGAGAGGCGACTGCAATAGAGGGTTTATGTACTGAATGCAAACCTGGTTTATTTCGCTTTTAAATATAATCATATATGAAAACTTTCATAATGAGATAAACATAGCATCATAATTATGTATTATGCAGAATGATTTCTTATTTAGTGTATAGGAATACATGTTGCAATGAAATTTGTTGTAAGTTTTTTAAAATTACACTTGATTTATACTAGAGGTGAGACCAATCCTAAATTTTCTCAAATCCAAACCCTTAAAAAGTTCTTAAATCTCTCTTGAATATTTTTAATCTTTCATATAATAATAAATCCTTAATAATAAAAGTTTTTAATTAAAACAAAATTTGAAATCTTGTTTAATGAAAAACAAATTTTAAGAATATATGTATTAAAATAGACTTATTAAGATATGAATGAAATTTAGTAAATAATGTACACAACTAAACAATTTTTTCTCAACATATTTTGAAAATAAATAAATAAATAAAGTAATAGCTCAGATCTTACAGCTTTTCATATTCTTTTTAAATCAAAGTATAGGTAGAAGGGAAATTATTTCAATTCTTAACATAGTTAAGCATTAAGTATAAAATGCTTCTAATTCTTTCCAAAAATTTTTTAAAAATCAGAAACTTGTTTATTTTAAAAGTTAATTGCATTCTTGCAGCCGCCAGGAGATGATATTGGTGGTTCATATACCACTGAAATTGCCACAGTAGCATCCTTTCTCTCCCCCCCTTTTTTTTAATGATTGGGTCTATCAGACAACACAGGAAAACAGATTTTTCTGAAGTTTTTAATTGAATTATTTAAAGTTTTTTAAGTAAAGCTTCAATAGTTTTGAATGTGGGAAAAATACAGATTCAGGCTCAAAACTGTTTTCAGGAATCAAGGATTTTAATATTCCATCCCTTTTTTATACAAATGTTTGTTTCCATAATGGTTTGAATTTAAAATATAAATTATATTTTGTACTTGTTTGATTGACTTTTTTCATACTTGAGTAATTATTATTTTCTCTATAAACATTGTAATTATATAAGAATAATTATTTAAGATGCCATTTTACTATTTTTCACCAATATCTTTAATTAATATATTCCTTACAAATCTAAAATGGTGATACCTGATTTAAAATTGAGTAAGATAATAAATGTAGATTTAATTTTAGTTTTTTTCATCTATAAGTGTAGTTAATATATATTGAAGGCACTAGTACAAGGATAAAACATTAATGATTCTGATAGCATGTTTTTCAAGAATATTATTATTTATACAGGTGGAAGACAAAATAATGCGAACACCTGTGAAAAAGTATGACGTATTTCACACCTGCAATACAGTCGCACTACCTACAACAGAAGTCTGCTACCTACAACAGAAGTCTGCTTGTGGGTTGTGCAAGGCGTACAGTATCAGCCGTTATGACAGTGTACACGAAAGAGAGTAAGACAACGTCTTCAAAGTACAATAGTGGCCGAAAGTTCAAAGCTGGCTGATATGGATAGACGGGTTTTGAAGCGCATAGTAGCCTGAAAGCACAAGCAGTCGTTATCCCAAATAACATCGGAAATGAACAGTCATCTCCAGGACCCTGTTTCAACAAATACTGTCCAAAGGGAACTTCATGCTGCGAACATTTATGGCAGAGTGGCAATTCGTAAACCCTTGGTGACGGCAACTAATGCTTTCAAGCGATGGCAATGGTGCAGAGATCACAAAGGCTGGTCTTCACAGCAGTGGCAACAGGTAATATGGTCAGATGAATTGTCATTCACCTTATTTCAGTCGATCGGACGCATTTATGTCTGGAGAATGCCCAAAGAAGTGTTTCATCCTGACTACCTCCTGCTGACTGTGAAGCATGGAGGTGGTGCCATTATGGTCTGGGGTGCGATATCTTAGCATGGTCTTGGGCCACTTGTTATTCTGCATGAAAGGATCACATCCAATCACTGTCTAAGCATTCTAGGGGATCATGTCCATCCTTTTGTCAAGACTGTATTCCCTGGGGAGCGACCGCTTTTTTAAGACAACAATGCCCCTTTCCACACTGTTAGGTATATTCAAGAATGGTTCGAAGAGCATGACGATGCAGTTGAACATCTCGCTTGGGCCCCCTCAGTCTCCAGACGGGAATATTATTGAACATTTATGGGTATATTTGGAGTCCAAACTTTGTTCCCGATTTCCACCTCTATCTGGACTTTCGGTATTAGAGACCGCTCTGCAGGAGGAATGGCTTAATATTCCTTTAAATATTATCCATGACCTTTATGCATCTATCCCATGTCGCATTCAATCTGTACTTCAGTCAAAGGGTGGTCCACCCCCTATTAATAAAAATTTTTTCATTTATTATTAATAAAATTTTCTATTATTTTTTCTTCCATCTGTAACTAGCCTATGTTACAAGTCTATTTATAAAACAACATGATTACTGCAATGCTAAAATATAGGAAAAATATTTTTAAATTTCGGTATATAAAGCAAGTATTATTTAAATGTACAATGTTCAATATATAAAATCATACTGATATTATAATGTCAAGTTTCCAAAATTTTATTTTTAATATATAATGAGATTAATATGATTGTATTTAGTGCGCATTTTACTAATTTAAGTTCTTTTTCTAATAATTTAAATATCAAATAAAAGTAAACTCTGTTCCTTGCACTATTTTTTTATGTATGTGTATATATAAATTATGTGCATGTAAGGTATATGTGTTACTTCACTTTAGAATGCATACATAATACATAGATGGTATGTAATATAGTATGCTTTTTGACAATCAAACTACATTTGTCATTTGATGATTTTGAGTTCTTGACTATGTTTTCGTTATGATGTTGCTAAATAAACAGCAAACACATGTATATTCAATTTTTTAATATCTGCTTCTGTTCAAAGGAAAAAAGTGAGTTAACAAATTTTAGGAATTAAAACCAAATAGAATCCAGTATTTTTTAGTTACCAAACTGAAATGATTTTTCTTCTATTTTAATTAGAATTTATTAAGCTGTAATAATAAACCATAACCATAAGCATGTTGTTTTCTTTGTATGTAGGTTCAATGATGAAATTAGACGATTAGCCATCATCAATGTCTATTGCCCTAGAGTGGATCCTGATAAGCCTGAGAGGCATCTGTATAAAATGCAGTTTTGTTTTCTGCTTGAAGCAAAGACAAAAGAACTTTGTAGTAATGGCTGGTAACAAATTCATGTCATTCTTTATCTAATAATAATTTTTCTTATACATTAAAGGATTTAAAAATTCATTTTTTTTTTAAATATGTGAATTATCAAATCAATGGAAGCTGTCCAATAATTTAACTTATTTATTTGCATGTTATGATTTAAAAATTTTGTTCAATAGCTATCTTATCAATAGTATTTCATTTATGATCATAATGGTTCTTCAGTATTGGTTTGACTTGAGATTTGATTTCAAGGTTAAAATATGAATACTTATAGTTAGCAAGGCTGTGAAGTCTGTAAGGAAAATGACCGACTCTGACCCCAACTCCTGGAATTTTAAGGACTCCAACTTCGACTCCCTCATATATATACAGGGTGTTCGGGATAAATTTGACAGTTTCGTAAGGAAAAAGAAAATCTGTTTGTATGAGTTGTAGCAAATGTCTTCGTTGAGTACAAGCTTCATAGTAGAGGCTGCAACATTCATTTCACGTGACAAAGCCTGAATTCCAATGCCAGGGTTCTTCAACACCTGTTCCTGCAGATTTGTGAGGAATTCTGCTGTACGAACGCAATCAGCTTGTCTGCTAGGGATCTTTCTTCTTGCTACATCCTCGTAGTCACCATTGCAAGTCCCTAGTTCATGCTTGATTGTTTTTACTGTGTTCAGGGAGCATTGGGCAGCAGTCATAATATCCTTATTTTGATAGCCGGCACGAATCATCATGATGCAAGTTATTCTCTTCCATGATTCAGGTGGGTTCCAGTCATCCATCCTTTCTGACATCTTGTATATGAATGAAGAAGGGTCCAAACTTTTAAATGATGAGTAGTGTGTGTCAATACCTCCAACCTATGGAAAAATATAATCAATTATAAATATGTCAAATTTATCCCGAACATTCTGTATATGTGTGAAAACATATACACATGGGTTATGGCTTATTTTTTTAATATAAAAAGAAGTAATAGATGCTATGAAAAAAATTGATGGCATAGCAAATTATTTATATTAGTTAGCATTTATTATGAAATGGAAAAACTGGCATTAGTTATTTCTAAAAAATAATATAGCTTTGACAAGATCTTTGTTGGAGGACTATAGATCCGATTTGATAAACTTCAGAGCTGAGAAGAGCCTTTCCACACTGAATTGAGTAGGAAAAAGACAGCTGTTACTGTTAGGGCTACTTTTTTCTGTCTTGCAAGAACAATCATATTTCTGTATTTCTTCAGAAATCTTGGTTGTATTTTTTCATTTTCATATCTAAAGGCTCTTGGTTCTTTATTTTCATTCGCTTTGCCTTAGCCTTTTCAATATTATCCAAAAATAATTCTCAAAATCTAATTCATCACTGAAAGAGGATGATAGAGACTCAGTTGCAATGTCTGCAGTTTGACTATCCTGATTTGAATATTCAAATTGTTCTGAAAACAATTTCATTCTTATTAAAAGTTCATATATGGCTTTCTTTGCCTTCTTAATTTGTTCGTCATCCAACAAAATTCGGTGTTTTGGATCTACATATATTGAACCCAGCAAGATCTCATTGTCTAGCAAACTAGTTTCGTTTTTCTTCATTGAAGAAATGATGCTTTCTGTAATTAACGCTCCATATCAGAAAGAACAAACATCACATTCTTTCATTCTCGTCTCCTGTTAATACTTCAGATGGTAGTTTTTTTGTGGCTATATACAGTGTAGAAAGAAGAGTTTCCAATTCTGAAAGATCATTCCACAGTCTTTCTGTTAGAAAAATATTAGTGTTCATCTTCTAAAAAAGTTAATTCTAACAAGCTCTATATTATCAAATATGTACTTCCTCATCACTTTGCTTGATCAATAATTGCTCCTTTTCCTGCTTGCTTCCTAAGAATGGCATCAATTTTGGGAGTTCTTCTTGCTGTTGCTGCTTACCTAAATTTCCCAGTCAGATTTGTAACTAAATGAAGTAACTATATAAATCAGTTTAATTACTAATGGTAAATATCACATCCATCCTCCCCCCTTATATTTATTTATTAATATGTCAATAAAATAGAAAATAACTATTTATTAATGTATATAGTTTATAAATAAAAACAATAACTCAGTTTGTCATTATTTTTTTTTTTTCAATTCACTTTAATTTCATTTCAAATCCAAACTGTCTGACAAAAACTGGAGTTGCAGTCGACCTGTTTTTAGCGACTCCAGCTCCGACTCCTTTTATCCCAAAATCTGCACAACTCCGATTCCAACTCCATGACTCTGACTCCACAGCCCTGATAGTTAGGCAAATATTTGAATTTTATATTAATAAATAAGTCGTTTTAAGATCTATAGTAAAGCATACTTGTAAATTTTTATTCATTGCATTTTTAATTAATTCTAAAACATTATTTAACATAATCATATTAGTCGAACAACTTGTTGGATGGAGGCTTACTCACCTGACTGAGTGATAAAATTCTCTAGAGGATTATTGATGTATATTTATGCCTGTATATTTTTATTTATGGATTTTCACAAAATCTTTCAAAATGTGATTGCAAAGCTTGGGACCAGAGGTTGCGCAGATTTTAGGATTTCGCGGATTTCAGGACAGAAAAGATAAAGCACAATTTTCGGACTAAAAGTGCAAAATAAATAAGGCATATTAGATACATTTAATTAAATTATTATGTACATTATTGCAATAATTTATTATATGCATTAAATTATTATTACATATATAAATTGATTATATTATTCATTGTATATGTACACATCATTGAGGTTTGCCGATTTCGCCTCATGCAAAGATTTCCGGTTTTGGATTCCGGTGTTAGAATCACTGTTGCTGTAAAATTTCAACAGCTTTTCTTTATTTTTCCGTATATCATACACAATCGTGTCGCAATTCCATACCATTCTGCTATAAATCAAAGAGTAGCACCTGCTTCCATCTTTTGCAGAATTTGCACTTTTTGCGTTACTGTCAATGCAACGTGTTTACATTTTTCAATGTTGTAAGCAGTAAAATCATGAGTGCATTTATCTGTCATTGTATTAAAAAGGGCTGAAATTTAAAATATTCTTAATTTATCCACAAAATATCAGGATAAAAAAAAAAAAAAAAGCAGTGTTAAACAATCTCGTGAAATAACAAAGCTCAGAAAATACAACAACATGAATCATGAACTTGAACGAAGAGCTGAGTGAATCATCTGCTTTTTTACCTCAATGCAGAGATTAGAGGGAAAAAACGTTTATCTTATTTTTTTTTAACTTTTTTTATGTCAATAATTTGGTATTTCCATTAAACTCATTATTATTTGGTAATTATGACGTCATTATTTGGTAAGTATTTTTTCTTCGATATTTCGTACTCAATGTTGCAGTTTCCGGAACCTATAAGCTGAATGTTTATATTTTGAGGCAATGCGGATTTCAGGAGTTGGCGGATAACAGGTCGGTGGATTTTCGGTATTTAACTGTACTGATATTTTATAACATATTGGATGGATTTTATAACATAATTAATGGATAACAGTTCCTGCTATCCTCACATGAATTGTATTTCACAAATCATAGAGATACATATTATTAGGGGGGAGAAAAAGAAGAAACTCATTATCTTGATTGAACTAATAATGAGTAGCAACAGAATGCAAGAGAAAAGATGGCTGCCATTGAAAATATGAAATATTATAATATATTTTGATTGATGATTATGTACTGATCGTAACAGTTATTTTCACTTCAGTGTTGCATACTGGCTATTTGATAGGAAATCTGTTCTTTACCAAAAATACAATAATAATTAAGATATTTATTTATTTATTATTATTTTTGCATCAATAGTAAGAATTACTGTCTGTTAAGTTGATAAGTATCATATATTGTAATAAAGAATTTTTTATTGTTCTAAAAAGCATTATTAGTGCAACAGAAATATGTCAATACAGGGTGTCGATGGAATATCATAGCTGACAAGTCTTCCAGTTTTATGTTACAACTCTGAATCTCTCAGTAGATCATTGCATCTTCTGGTTTTTAATTTTTAACTAAGGAAAGTGTTTTTCCGCAGTAAATGAAATTTATTGAACATTAATTGGGCAAATTTTATTTCCCCATCATAGTGACTTTCATTGTAATATTTCTTGCTAAATTTTGTTTAATATGAGTTATCTTAATCTGCATGGACATTTTTAGAACTTTATATGAAGATTCAAAGAATGTAGAGTCAGTTAATATTTGCCTTTAATTTTATTTTAACATTAACAAGGGTACATTAACAAGGGTTATTGAGTTTATCCACATAATAGTACTATATGCATTTTATTTTCATTATGTTTAAAATTACTTTGAGAAAGTAAAACTTTCCTTTCCTGCTCAGAATTTTTTAGCATACCCATTCAATGTTGAAACATCCAGGAAACAGGAGTTTTTAGCTGGAAAACCTCCCAGTTTTTCATATTTCAAAGTTGGCAGCTATGGAGTATAATGCTACAACAGGGCCATTTTTATATCATTAACTATCAGAGAACATAAGCACAGTGTAATAAGAAACCCATTCTGATACTAGGGATGAAGGTTTCTTAACATTTATAAACATATAACTTGTATTCTAGGCCTGCAAAATGAATTCAACTAACTGCAGCCTGCCAAAGAGTGTTTCAGTCTGATGCCATATTCTCCAAAAGCATGCAGATAATTTCATGATTGGATGTAGGAACATGGTCCTTATTTTGTGTTCTGGGAAATCCAGGTTCAGTTTGCACAGTGATTCACACCATGCCTTCAACTGGAGAGTACCTAAGTCTTCACTATCCTGGAAAGGCATCATTTTGATGTCAGTGTTGTATTGTGTGCTAATCTAGTGTTGAGGCATGTAAGTCTGTACTAGCTCAGAGGTACCATATGATGGTATTCTGCAACTACGTGTTCAAATATTTAGAAGGAGGAATTTTAATCTGTCTCTGCGTATAACTATGTGTCACTTCATCTACTCTAGTGGAGAAACTAATGTTTAAAAAATAAGGATATCATCTACATATTGCAGCCAGCCTTCTTATTTGATTTAAACTCCACTGAGCATACATGAAGGATATATACCCGTTGCAAGATATTATCTGTTTTCTAAAAATCTTTTCTGAGCTTATGGATAGTTCTAGTATAAGTGTGGATCTCTACATTTTAAGAGTAGTTTGATAATCTTATGCTGAATGCACCCAAATGTTGTATTATGCATATTGGTATGGCAAATTATTATAAGCAATTTTAAATTTCTACTCTTGTTTTAAAAATTTCTATTTGCCCCTTCTTCATGCCAAATCATGTCATTCTGCTTAAAAAAAGGGTAGCTTAACTTCATTATGCTGTTTGCTTTTCACATTTTTTCTTTCATAAAAATTCAGTTACTTAAGTAATCTTTTGGTAATTTGCCTGATTTTCTGCCAAAGTTAATGGTATAGTGGTTAGTGATGCTGACTACCATACCATAGTAGGCCCAGATTCAAATCCCAGAGAAGGCATGGATGTTTGTAAACATATAATATGTGTGGCACAGGGGGAGCCAAAAGAGATTGGTGGGGTAAAGGGGGAGACCTTCAGACTGTCCGTGAGGTTTTCTCCCTTCAAATTGGAGCCAAATCACATAGTTAGTGCAATGGGGCTATTGCTGGTGAAATTCTGGTGTCTCACCCACTTATACCTGTACATGCCACAGTCACTGATAAAAACTCTTTAAAAAATTCTCATGCTATCATCATGAAGACATTAGTCTGTTTGTAACAGTCATGATAATCTTGTTATTCTGTGTCCCCCTTCTCTCAGTTGCAAAAATTGCTCAAATTTTGCACAATTCAAGTAATGTTTTTCACCTATCAATGAAGTTATTTATTCATTTCTTGTTATAAAACCCTATTTCTAATTTTATTCTTAGTAAATTTGTAACATTTCTTGTTGTTGTGTTGCATCAGCCGAATTAAGATAGCATTAAAATTTCCCATTAAGGGATATCAATACTGTGTCATGAATGGTAAAATAAATAAAGCTTTAATAGGTAATTATAATTAGTCTCTTGATTAGAATTTTGATTTAAATTCCACTAAAACTATCTAAGAAACCTCTTTGATTAGTGAATTATATTTCTTTGATATTTAAATTAATAATATTAGTTCCAATCTGGTTTTCCAAAGCATTCAAAATTTTAGTATCTTAGATTTGATTTTTCCCTTTTTGCTATTTTTATTTCATATTTGACTCTGCCTATTCATTTGGCCTCACTTATTTGGCTCTTTGCTGTGCCTTTCCCCTTCCATGGTCATATTTTGTTTTGTTCTTGAAAGACAGGGATCAATGATGCTTGAAATCAGTAAACATTTTATATGAAAATACCTACTTATCCAAAGTTGTTGTTTTTTTATTTGATTGTATAAATACTTTTTTATCACAAAATATTTTTATCCTGCATAGGATATATATATGCACTGCTATTGAGCATATGTTTTCTTTAATTTAGTCCCTATGGCAGAACTACATAATGCTTCTTTCCACCTGAATTATCATTTAATTGAATGAGCTTTACATACAAAACAGTCCTGCCATAATCTTGTGGATTACAGTTGAAAATTGTAATGTTTTATTTATTTTTTTTTAAATGCCATGATATGTGAAGTCAGATATTTTAGATTAAAACTGACAGTGATTTAAGAAATATTAAGGTAAAAAGTTATTAAACATCTAGGGACAATAGTAATTCTTGAATTAAAAATTATTGCACAGTCAGCATCAATATAATATGTATGTAGTGTGTTTTTAAAGTAAGGGCCATTTTGCTGTATACACTAATATATGTCACGCGGGCGGCAACGAGTACCTGCGTCATGTATTAGCATCTCTTGGAAACAACTGTTTCTCAGTTGCAGCTATGTAGGTAACTTGTATGGTCTGTTCTATGTCTAATATGTTTAATATTATCAAATCGCCCGGCCCGTGCAAGGTACAGTCAGTGATATGTTATTTGTCAGCAAGAAACTTGTCTATTGCAGACATTCACTGGCAGATTTGTGAAGCTTACGAAGCTACTGCCATGAGTGATGACAAAGTGCATAATTTCATCAGAAACATGAACGTCCATTATGAGTCCCGCTGTGGTCACCCATCTATGATCACAGACAATATGGTGGCTTCAAATGAAGTGAAAGTTGTTGAGAACAGAAGCTTCACCATAATCACTCTTTGAAATGAATTTCCTGAAATGTCTAGTCTAGGACGTCAAAATGGCCATGACCTCTTGATTATCGGAGCAGGCAGCAAGTTTCTATGAAGAGAGTGTTCAAAATCGAGTCCTAAGGTATGACCAGTGTTTAAACAAACTTGGCAACTATATTGAAAAATAGGGAAATGTATATTGAATCTGAAAATAAATTTGGTATTTGAAAATTTTCTTTCATTTTGTTTTTATTTTCAAATGGCCTTTACTTAAAAAATGCCCCTCGTATAAACTTTGCAATGATTTTTGTAACAATGTTTACATGCCATTTTTTGTTCAATTATTATCATAAGAGTTTAGTCATTAAACATTTTCCTTTCTGCAGTTTTGTAGTAATTGTTGGTGACATGAATATTGCTTGCTGTCCTATTGATCATTGTGATCCTGGAGATGAAAAGGTAATTATTCATACTGTAAATATTAATTGGGATTATTTCTTTTCATTTGTATGTACATTTTTAATACTTAGAAATTTTCTTTTATCTATAATTATTACTCAATTTTCCTTTTTTGATCCACTGGTGACATTTTCCAAAATATTTTGCTGGCTGTTGCTAAAAACATCAGGTTAAAAATGAATAATGCAGTATTATATCATTAAATGAAATCTGATGTGCAATATGGTATGGCAGTTGAGAATTCTTTTTCTTTTGAGAGATACCTTCATGGAGGGCTTTCACAGTAAAAAAAAAATTGTCTTTTATTTCTATTACATGTGGTGAAAGCAATGAAAATTCGTTTAGTACCAAATGTCACACTAATTATGCTATATATATTTTTTAAAGAAAGATTCCTTAACTATTGATATTTATTGTATGTAAGTTGGTAAACATTATCAACATATGAAAAGAAACATACTGCCAATTTAAAGTGTAAATTTGAATTATTAAACAAGTATAATGGAATGCATTAAAAAATAAAGTACTTACATTCTTCTTCAAATCTTTCTGTAATTTTGTTGTGTTATTTTTCTCTTGAAGTACACAGCAATCTGTTTTTGCTTAAAAAAATCACACAATTGCAGAGACTTGGATTCGTGCAGACTTGGCAAGAGTGGTTATCTAGGAAACACATTTTCCTTCAGAAAATTTTCAGCAAAATTCTGTACTCCTGCAGAAATTTTACCACATTTTTTTCTTTACAAATGTCTAATTTCACAAAGTCGCATTTTAAAACTAAATTTAATCATAATTCAAAACAAAGTTCAAGGCAAAAAATACCATAATTTATATATAAAAATTGTTTTAACTTGGAATACAATGAAAAATAACACATAAAAAATGGTGGCATTGTTTCATTGAGATGATTATTATGGGCATTAAAATGATTATTATGCGGGAAGAATGGTTATGTGCATGGTTGCAAGAGTTAGCTGTTATTTTGCTTAGGTATGCCAAATTTCTGGAAATAAAACAGCAACTATCAGTTTATGTTTGGTGTTTTATTATGCTGCATGTTAATAAAGTTTAACTGCATTAAAACTATAGTTGCATTATGAAATTTTGTATTAACATATCCAAATATAATTAAGACACAATAACACGCCAAATAAATACTGATTCGACAAAAATCAGCGTTAATTCACAAAATTTTCACAGGACTAGTTTCGATGGTTTTACCGAACCATCATCTTCAGCTGCAAAACCGCAAATGAACAAGATAGGAAATAATGTTTAGATAAGATAAGAAAGCCTGGACAAGAATAAGCTAGTGGCGCCATCTGTTGGCGAAACCAGAACTAAAACATAATTTCTCTAAAAGCCGAAGGCAAATTTGGATTGGAATTAGGATCGTTAACTAGAACAGAAAGATTTTTATGAATGTGAAATGCCTCTAGAAAATCCAGTTCTCCAATGGAAGATGTTTTTTGAATAATTTTGGCAGCAGAAAAATTGAAAGTGTGATTTTCGGACCAACAATGTTGAGCAACAGAAGACTTCTGTGTTTCCTTTTTTCTAACATGCCTCATGTTCTTTGACGCGAAATTTTAAGGCTCTCTTAGTTTGGCCAATGTAAATTAAACCGCACTGGCAAGGAATCCTATAAATACCCCAGGAATTCATATCCGGAATGGGGTCCTTGAGTATAGAAGTTGGAATTTTATTGATGGGAGAGTAAACAACCCGAAAGTTAAATTTCTGCAAAATATGTGCAACTTTATAGCTAATTGATGGAAAGAAGGAAATGACAACAGAATTTTTATAATCTCCTAAATCTCCTTTTTGTTGTTTGACTTCTGAATCAATATCCAAATATATTAATAAAAGTCATTTTCCAATTTGCCCCTCTTGCTTTTTTGTGAATACAGGTATAATAATACTAGGCTACCAACCATAGCTGAATTTTTTCGACATCTTCCTTTCTGCTATACGCTATCTGCTTTCTGTAAATATGAAATTAATTAGTGACAGCAGTTTATTGACACACAGTAAGTGGAATGCTTTCTAACTGCTCTATTCTTTTCACATGGTTAAGCAATTGTATTATATAAGTACCAATATGTAACTTGAAAAAGAAGAAGTGAGATTATGAATATGTATTTACCATGTATAAAATATGATTTAGCATTTGGCATACATAATCTGTGTTATGTAATATTCTTTTCCACTAGATAAGTAATCAACGCTGACAGCTCACAGCAGAGCAGTTGTCTGTCTTCTGGTTTACTTAACTGTAATTTACTGTTACATCTATCTTTGCCTTTTTCTTCCCTTATTGTGTGAGCGAGTGTTTCTTCAGAGGTGAGTGATATCTTAGTGATTTGGATGCTTACTTTATCATGTGCTCTAGTGTTTCCTGGTGATGAAACTACCTATATTTTTATGCATCGAACCCACATTTGTAAAGAAGATTCTTACTAGTATTATTGCTGTGACTTATCTCACTTGTAACATCAAATCAAGTTTCTAAATTTATTATGGCCAAGTGTGCACCAGTCGTTGGATTATGCTTTTTACAGCTTAGAGAAGATCCTATAATCCAGTTATCAAAATAGTCATGACGTATTTGGTCATTTTCCAATTTGCCCCTCTTGCTTTTTTGTGAATACAGATATAATAATACTAGGCTACCAACCATAGCTGAATTTTTTTGACATCTTCCTTTCTGCTATATGCTATCTGCTTTCTGTAAATATGAAATTAATTAGTGACAGCAATTTATTGACACACAGTAAGTGGAATGCCTTATGTGTTTTCTAACTGTTGTATTCTTTTCACATGGTTAAACAATTGTATTATATAAGTACCAATGTGTAACTTGAAAAAGAAGAAGTGAGATTATGAATATGTTTTGTATTTCATGATACAAAGAATATATTTCAGTCAATGATATATTGCTCATTTAGCTCAATAACCGTGTGCCATCTTTCAGCAAACTTTAGAATTCTTTGTTCATAGAAGGACCTATCTATGTGTAAAAAAACTGAAGAAGGTGCTGATTTACAGCCTTATCTGAATTGAATGTTATGCCATGCAAGTACTGTTGAAGAGAGTGAAACAAGGGGACATCTGACAGTGCAAGGTCAAGCAAATATGGTGGGTGTGGCAATATATCCCATTCAAACTTCAAAAGTTTTTGATTGAGTGAACATTACTTGTGTGTGGTTTTATGTTGTTGTGATAGAATATGACCTCTAGTGAGTTCTGGCCATTTCTGGATGAATGCTTCGTTCTAACTGTTTATTTGCTGACAATACACTTGATTGGAAATGATTGTTTGGTTCCTATGTAGAAGACCAAGAAAACACTATTAAAATTTCACAATACTGAGAACATAATATTTCTTTGATGAATTTCTGCTTTCGATGTTGTTTGAGGCGTCTCACCCCTTTTGGGACTACAAATGTTTTCACACCACATTGTTGCACATAATCCACTTCTCATCACTAGTTATCAGTTGCTTCAATAAAGGATCATTAATGAGCATGTCGCATAAGTTTATCTGTTCTTCAAATGAACTTTGAGTTCATGATTAACCCAAACATTGAACTTGCTTATATATCCCAGTTTCTTCAGATATTTGGGAACAGTTGAATAATGGATCTTCAATGTTTCTGCAATCTCTTGTGTTGTGTAATAATGATTTGCTAATTAATGCCTTTGTTTGGTCATCATCAACCTTGGTTAGCTTTCCTGACCGAGGGGTGTTGTTGAAATCAAACTCGCCAGCACAGAATTTTGTGAACCAGCATTGGCATTTATGTTCATGTAATGCATTGTCACTGTAAACTTTATGCAATTTTTCACATACTTATTGCACATTCTTCCCTTTCCTGAAGTAAAACAATAAAATATGGCAGAAATGCAGCTTTTGGTCTTCAATCTTCCATATGTTATCAAATCTATAAAAACGAGAAATATAGATCAGTATGACATGACAATCAACAACATATGACACTCAACCTCTCAGCTATTCATGACATAGCAACTGCATGAATATGAATAACTCTTGTACCTCCACAAATCATCACTTGCCATTTTTTACCAAAATATATCATGGCTTTTCTGACAACCCGATATTTGTTGGAAGGAACATTTTCCCTAATTGCTTGCTTTGGCTTCTGCTTCAGAAAAAGACGTGATATTTACCAGTTCCAGGTCAGTTATTTAGTTTTCTGTGCCGCCATGTGTGTCCTGTATTTGAGAACACTTCATATTGAGTTCCATGTAAATGAACCATTTCTGACTAATCAAAGGAATCTGTATTCTCTTGTTAGGCTCAATGTTGAGTGGGATAAACAGATCCCAGTAGTTTTTCTGCCACCAGTATGAATTCTAAAAGCTCTAACAGAGATTTTAAGAACTGCATTAAACCCCTCTAAAGAGTGTTTCAAATGTTAATTTTGTAATAAGTTTATATTTCTGAAATTTCTCATATTAATTCTGCAGGAATTTAATGCTTCTGAAGCAAGACAGTGGCTGAAATATTTTTTGTCAAATCCTGTTAATTCCATTGATGGTGAGTATCGTAAAGAAAATTTTGTGTTCTTATTGTTGAGAATTTATTTTGTTCCTTAATTATGTACATTATGAACTAAGACTAAAATATTATAACTTAATGATTTATGAATTCAGTACTTACTTCAACATAACTTATGAAAATTAATCCGGACATCCATAATCCGGAATGATCTATAATCCGGATTTCAAAGCTACAAATTTCTGCGCATGCGTAAATGCATTATGCGTTTACGCATGCGCATAATATGTTTATGCATGTACGTTTGATGTATAACGGAAGGTATAAGCTAGGCTAAAATTATCTAATTATCTATTTCAGTTAATGTTGCAGATTGCGTTGTTCCTTAATCTTCTAATTGGATCCGGCTTATTATTTTTTGCAGACTGTTAGAGCAATTTAATAAAAAGTAAGCTTGAACTTTCGATTATGCCAAAAAGAGTTTCCGATTCTGGAGCTGCCAAAGGATCTACAAAGCGAAAGCATGTTTCGATGTCCATTAAGCAAAAAGTGGAATTGCTGCAAAATATGAATAAAAGGCATGAAGAAAGTGACAGAGAGGTTAGTGAAAACGGAAAAATTACGATTGACAAGTTCAGAACTTGAACAGTGGAACTTTGTAACTGAACAAGAAATTATGTCTGTTTATAGAATTAAAGAGAAAGTATTAGCACATAAACAACTTACATTGAAAGAAATGTTTAATAAAGTAAACAAATATTGAGCTTTTTTTTTTTTTTTTTTTTTTTTTTGTAAATTTTGATACCCTTTAGATCATAATTGCTCTTTATTTCATAAATTATGGTTTCATATTTTTAATTTTATAATTTCTGCATGCCATCTTACCAGATTTAAATTGATGAACTATAATCCGGAAAAAACCCTAATCTGGAATCGCCGAAGTCCCGACGAGTCCAGATTAAAGACTTTGTACTGTAATTACTTTTAAACACGTGATAAAATCTTTTTATAAAATATCAAAATTAAAGCTACAAATAAGTTCAGGGTTCTATTTTATTCTTAGGATGGTATTACAAAAGTGAAATTCAGGCATAGGTAATATCTTTAACTGAATTTATTAAGCTCCCATTTGCTTGATAGGTCCATAATTTCTTTTGTTTGTTTATTAATGGTCCTTAAAAGTTCTTAATTTCTGTATGTAGAAATGTGTACAGACCATGTAAATTCTATAAATTTAAAATTTTGTCAGATATCTGGGCCTATTAGTAACTGAGTGAATAAGACTCTTGAACACTGGTAGTTTGACCTACCAAATGGGCTACTGCATAAATATGTTTGAAATTTTTCCTGTGGGTAATGGGAATCTAAGCCAGTTTTCCTTAGAAAATTCTTTGTGGAGGTTTTCCTTCCATCAGACAGGTAGCCGTAGTGTTCTTTGCTGTAGTTAAATAATCCATTCCAATTCTTATGTGGTATCTGAGGAGAATTAACCTACTTTCTCTTTACACATTTGTGCCAATTGTATGCTTCACAACTTCAATTTAAGCTTTGATTTTATTTTAATTTGTGATTTTCTCCATAAACTTTAATTTTACTATTAACAGAATATTTTGAGTGATATTTATTAATTAAATAAACCAGTTGGAATATATGTAATTTATATTTTGCATTTAAAAAAATTGCAGATTTAAGTGGCAACAAATTTAAATTTAAGGAAAGTACAGCCTTCTTATTTTATGCTATTCAGGTTCAAATAAACCTATGAATCAGCATTAAAGTTGTATCTTTATCAATATCTTAGCAGTGAGTTCACTATGCTGAACATCTTGAGTTCTTTCATAAGATCTTAAGCTTTTTGTATTCTTCAAATGCCAGTATAAGATCGTTTTGAAGCAATGATGTAAGATTATCCCCAGACACTGGGCCGTTCTCGGGCCATTGGCTGCCCATGTGCTTTTCTAAGATTACCGTCCCTAAATTTTAAAAAATGCTCAATGATTAATAAAATTTTAATTTCATACTCAATAAGTACTTATATATGACAAACTGTATAAAATGTACTTGCATATGACAAGTAATTACTATGAATTTAATGAATTTAAAATAGTTAAGCGTGGTATCACAAGAGTCTGGCTGCCCCCGATTTCGCCGCCCGCATACTTTTATGCATTGCACCCCTGCTTGGAATGGCCCTGCCCAGACATAAATAAAAGTACAAAAAGTTGTAATGAAGTAAGTTGTAATTGTAAAAAAGTAAAAAAAATAGTTGTGTTGTAAAAAGAAAAGTGAAAAAGAAACTGTTTGCATTTAATTTTGATGTAAAACTGTATTTCTTAGGTTAACAGTTAGGATTTTTTTCTAAATTTTGACATTTCTTTCAAAGAAATTCAGAAGTATTTAAAATCTTTCCTGTATTCAAGGTATAAAATAATTTTTTCCATTTTTTTTAACGTCATCTTGTTAAAAACTATTGTTTACATTAACAAATAGCTTATTATAAATTTAAATTTTCAAACTGAACTATTTTAATTACAGTCAAAAGTCGTTAATTCGGACACCCATAATCCGGAATGATCTATAATCCGGACCTCAAATAAAAGTACAAATATCAAAATTAAATCTTTCTGCGCATGCGCCGCGTTGACGCATGCTCATAGGCGTTTTACGCGTGCGCACAAGACATCTACGACTGCGCAAGCGCAGAATACGTTTTCACGTGCGCGTTTAATGTATAACGGATGGTATAAGCTAAAATTATCTAATTATCTATTTCAGTTAATGTTGATGATTGCGTTGTTCCTTAATCTTCGAATTGGGATCCAGCTTATTATTTTTTTTTCAGACTGTAAGAGCAATTTTATAAAAAGTAAGCTTGAACTTTCGATTATGTCAAATAGAATTTCCGATGCTGGAGCTCCCAAAGGATCTAGAAAACGAAAGTATGTTTCGATGTCCATCAAACAAAAAACGAATTGCTACAAAAAATGGATAAAGGTATATCCTTTGTTTATCTAACCGTTCCGAAATCTGTTTATCAATTTCACGCTGCTCTGCGGCGGGGGGGGGGCTTCGCGCGCGCAATGAACTGGAAGTTGATCTGTCAGCACTATCGTTATCTTCAGGGCAGATGTTTTTATTTTATTCAGCTTTCATTCCTTACTAAACGTAGTATTTCATCTCAATGTACTCCATCTTTGATATGATTTAAATCAAATTCCTTGTCATTATAAATATCACGAATACACATCAAATAATTTTCTGGTTGCAATTTTCTAATTTCGACTATGCGTGATGTATGCTTTACGCATGCGCGCATTGAAAGAAATGTTTAATAAAGTAAACAAATAAATATTAAGCTTCTTTTTTTGTAAATTTTGATACCCTTTAGATCATAATTGCTCATTATTTTATAAATTATGTTTCAATATTTTTAATTTTATAATTTCTGCATGCCATCTTACCAGATTTAAACTGATGATCTATAATCCGGAATCGCCGAAGTCCCGACGAGTCCGGATTAAAGACTTTTGACTGTATATGAATGTCTTGTGTTTAGTCAGTGAGGATATAAACAATAATATTCAAAAAGGCAAGAACATGAAAAGCATTAAATTCCTTGTTGAAGGATAATGCTATGAGATGATTTAAAAGTAGTAAAATCTGCTGAAGTAAACTTTTGCTTGAACAGGAAGAAGGTTGGATATTAGTAAAGAAATATTATATAAGTGTTAAAAATTGTATTTTTGATAACATCTGTCCATATCTTAATTTTTCTAACCTCTGTCTGTTTTTGTAACATCTGTTTTGTATTTTCTGTAACATCTGTCCTTACTCAAAAATTGTAAATTTTAGTAAGTGCCATCATTAGTAGTCTATTCTTTACTTGTATTTGTATTATACATTTTAGATTTATGTTTTTAGAATTTAAGCTTATCTTATTGAATTCTTGTTCCTTTTATTTTCACATTTAATCTATTATTTGTGTATAAAATCTGTTTATGATTAATTATTAATTTGTTTGTAATTGTTTGTGAATAAATGCATATCTTGTGCATACTTTTGAATTAATTATAAAATATCTTTGATCTGTTCTAAAACTGTTAGTTTGCCCTGGCTTGGATTTGCACCCAGGCAAATGGGCTGACTTCATGGTTGCTTTTCATGGTTTTTCTTATGTGTAATATTATAAGTCAGTTTTCCTCAGAAATTCTTTCATGAAGACATCTCTCCTCTTAGGCAAATAGCCTTTGTGGCTTTGCCATGTTCAAATAATCTAATCTTTTCCATTTAAATAAGTTTGCATTTTCCAAACCTTGAGCTTAAATTTTTGTATAAATTTAGTATTTTATTAGCATAAATATTTACTCTTTGGTTGTGTCTTTACAGGAAACATTTGTATAGTTGATGCTTTTCGTCATTTTTATCCAGATAAAAAAGAAGCTTATACTTGCTGGAATGTGAAAACTGGTGCAAGACTTACTAATTATGGGACTCGAATTGATTATATATTATTGAGTAGTAACCTGTTACCACTTCTGGAGAACTGTGAAATATTATCAGACTATGATGGCTCAGATCATTGCCCTGTGACTGCAGTTTTGAAATGTGACTCAGTTTCTGAAAAATCTGTACAGTTACCATCGATATGTACTCGTTTATGGCCAGAATTTTGTGGTCGTCAACAGACACTTCAGTCCTTTCTTCAAAAGGTGCAGAATACTGCAGACCAGGTTACTAAGTTTAGTGACAGCAAGGTTCAATCATTGCCTTCTAAAAATAAACTTTCACAGAAAAAAAGTGCTCAGAAGTCAATTAAAAATTTCTTTACTATTACAAATAATATTCCAGATCATAATACTATGAATAAAACTGACATATATGAAACAGAAATAGAGCAGTCTGATCAAAAGTTAGATAAAGAAGCTGCATCAAGTGACAGTTTTGAATTAAATTCTTTGGGAACTGAGTATGATAAATTCAGTTCATCTCCTAAGCTTAATCAAGCCATGGAATGGAAATCAGTATTTCGAGGTCCGCCTAAGCCACCTTTGTGTTCTGGCCATAGTAAAGAATGTGTGTTGAGAACAGTTAAAAAGAAAGGACCTAACTGTGGACGTCAGTTTTTTATGTGTGCTCAGCCAGCAGGGCACCCTTCAAATCCTGATGCAAACTGTAATTTTTTTAAATGGGTTTCTGCTCCAAAATTCAATGTTTTGAAAAAGTCTTGATTTTGGCAAAAATTATATATGTATTTTATTTTTTTAGAGTAGATTTTATTTTTATAATATTAGAAAAAAACTTTCATTTAAATTTATTAAAAAATATTTTTAATTAACTGTGAAATGCATATGTATTTGTATATAAACTTTTGTGATAATGAATATTAAAGGATTTCTTTACAAGGGTCAGTTTAAAAGACTTTAGCATTCAGTACAAAAGATTTAACTGTATAGGTTAGCTTTTCTCAACCAGAGATCCCAGACACGTTAGTATTCTCCAACAGACTGTGAGATATTCTGTGAGAAGTAGTCATGAATTGTCTAAATTTATGATAAATCATAAATAACATTTATACAAGGCTTTTTGAAACTTGAATAATATTTAGGTAGGTCCAGAAGTAAAATTTTTGAGGAATTTTGATTTGAAACTAGAGGAATCTTTTAGTTCATAGCCATATAAAGAACCTTTTTGAAGAATTTAGATGTTAGAGACTTTAAATTGACAATTACAAAATAGTATTTCAATCCCTGTGATTTTTTTAAGTTCTTTTCCTAGATATATGTTATTAATTACATAAAAAGTTAAATTTTATGCTTACAGATGCACCTTTCATCTACAGTGTTAAAAACATTTTCATAAAATCTTCTATATTATTTTAAGAAGTTCTTTATAATTGGAAGTATTTGTCTAGGATCAATATTTTAAGGGGGAATGCCACATAACTAACTTTTTTAGAGCACTTTGTATACTGAACAAAAAAATCTAAAAGTATAGAGAAATCTTAAAAGCGGTAGTTGTTTTTTAATGTTTTTTTCTTTCATTATATACATATGTATGTATGCATCATTTAAAAAGTCTTCTTGTATCAAGTTTTAAGGAAGGACCATCTTTTGAATCTAGTGTACATGTATTCAAACACATCTTTTCTGCTGTGTTGAAAGATAATGTGTGTGTAAAAATTTAGAAATTGTTGACATAGAAATATATAAAGAAGAAGCCTGTAATCATATGGTCTGTTTTAAGTTTTCTTTATTTTTGACAGCAAACACTTTTTTAACCAAGGTCAGTTTGAACAATAAACACCTATTTTTTTGAAGAACTACTTCAGTATCTTTTGCATTTTAGAAACACATTTGAAACAACAGCAGGCATTAGCAAGTTGGCAGCAGCCAAGTGAGAGAAGCCTGTGATGTGTTCAAGATGAAATTTTGGTTCAAAATGACTTGTTTTTGAACATGAGGCCCACCAGCGGCCGAGCGGTAAAGACGCTGAACACTGGTAGTTCGGTCCGAGGTTCGAATCCCATGAACGGGCTGGCTGCATGGGCATTTTCGTGGTTTTCGCCATGTGTAACGTGTATACGAGATAGTTTCCCTTAGAAAGTCCTCTATGAAGGCATCCCTCGTGTGCTTTGCCATAATTGAATAATCCGATCCGATCCTTGAACATTATTAAGTTTAGCAGCCAATGATTTATCCCATTGGCTGTTAAAAGTTTCGATTCTGAAATTTGAAATTATTAATTGACTGAAGCATTATGCAGGTCTCTGTGTCATTAGCTTTATGTAAGAATCATATGAAATGGATTAATTTTGAAATGATGCATTTACAGTGATTTATAAGCAGTTACTATTTTAAGGGCACAAAAATAATAACCAAATTGTAATAGGGAGCTCAAGGACTATTTCAAATTTAAAGTTAGAATTTTGATCTTACACACACACATATATATGTATACATATAATGTAGATCTTGAATCCATATGGATGTGGGATCAACTTGATAGATCTGATTGAATGCTTTCTTGATGAGTAATACATTTAATTACATTTTTCTTAATGAACAATAAAAAGACAATTACCGATGTAAATGCAGTTTAAAATAAAATGGCCATATTAAATTATTAAACAGTTCAGATTCAATTCATATCAATTGAAACATCAATTTGGAGCACCTATTTCCTGTCAAGTTCTCAGTTCCTTTGTGATTAATTACTGCATGTCTGCAGGCTGACTGTGGGAGATGTCATTTCTCGTCGCTGTTCAGTGGTCATCAGCCTTGGTTGCATTGAGGTCTAAATAACTGCTGGATAGCAAGTGCAATCTTGCCACTTCCACATATATTTCCAAGAGAAGTTATTGAACATTAATTTGTTTATTCAAGAGTTTATCTATTAAAATTTCAGATTGTTGAAATTGGCTTATCTTTATAGTGCAATGTCTGTATTTAGTATGAACATGGGAGGAGCACTGGCATTCATATTTAACATCTGATAAATATAATTTGAATAGAAGAGATTGAGGTGTTTTGTTTGTATAATTTCTTCTACTTCGTATACTAAAATCCTTAGCACTGACTGATGTACTAAGTAATTAACTGATGATGATATTTAATTATAATGCTAATTGTGATGCTATTAAATATCAAAAGATTCAGGCACTTACAGGCTATTTATCTCATGAGATAACTATTTAATGTCTCTTGATCTTTCATTTATATAGTTCTTCCATGAAAGAAAATTAGATACCCTTAAACAGGCCAGAAATGTATTTGTTTAAGGAATTTTCAACTCTTCCTTGTATATTAGAAATTATAAGTCTGAAATTAACACCAAGGTTTGAAATAATATTACCTATAACAGGGGTGGCCAACCTACGGCTCGGGAGCCGCATGCGGCTCTTTGAAGGGTTATTTGTGGCTCTCGATAAATGTACCCCAGTTCCCTTTTCATTTTTGTGTTATTATATTTTAAAAAATTATTATCGTTCCGTATGTGTTTCAAAACGTCTTTTAAATTACAGACAACAAATATGAAAGACTAATTGCAACATTGTAACAAATTTCATTTCCGTCCATCGTCTCTTGATTTTTTTTCTGAATCCATTTGAAATTAACATAATTCAAGGTGAGTTTTCCATTTCCAATATGATTATGACCCAAAAAGCATCTGGAGAATTAGAATTAATAGAGATGCAAGAAGATCAAGCTCTGCAATTAAAATATAAATCGACGCCGATTACTGAATTTTGGAAATTTGTATCAGAATCGAAGAATCCTGAATAAAAAAAGGCTTCTTGTCGAATTATTTTAATATTCGGAACAACGTATTTATGTGAATCATATTATTCCACTTTAAAATTCGTGAAATCCAAACACTGATTAGTATTAACTAACCAACATCTCAAAGAATTACTGAGAACTGCTGTCACCAATTACTCACCAAATTTTAAAGTATCAAGAGAAGTAAAATAAATGTGTTTAATTTTTAATATTTAAATTCAATACACATATTTTGTACTTTTATTTATATGTTTTCAATAAATATAATTTCTGTCAAAAAATTTTAATACCTTTTTTGCATACCTTTTAAATACGTATTTAGTTGCGGCTCATGAAAAATTTAAAATTTTGAAAAATGGCTTGGACTATCAAGGAGCTTGGCCACCCCTGACCTATAACTTCCAAATGGACACCACCCAGACTGGTATATAGTGGATAGGGGATCCTACTGCGATACCGAGGACCCGGGCTCGAATCCCGGAGAAGGCAAGGCAGTTATACGTCTTGTGATAGCACGTGATGGTTGCCATAATAAATGGCCATCACTTCCGGTCCTAGCAGTGGCCAAGCCTAAGTTGGCTTAGTGCCCACCAATGGGGGGGAAAATTCCTAATGGACAAAACTTTATCCTTTCGTTTTGTTAGACCTGAATGGTTTCCAAATATTTATTGTTTGCTTACTCTGCCTGGAAATGTGAATCGACACCATTATGCAAGTTGGTCATGTATGTCATATGAGCCCCATTCATGCATTTATGTTAACAACAAATGTAGTAATACATTTACAGTATACACTTACGTAATGTCCGCTCATTTTTTACTAAAATTACATCACTAAAATGAGGATACGGACTTTACATGGGTCGTTCAAATATCTCGCTTTTTCTCGTGAGTAATTTTGGGTGTAAATTTCATTTCAAACAGCCAAGTTAAGTTCTAAGTGGAAGAAAATGGCATAAGAAATAAAAGTATCAAATTTAAAGTTGTCTAAAAGCTACCTAAAATTTAAAAACTCACTTTACAATATAAATTACCCCGTTTACGTTATCAACACTCGGAGCGTATTAGTTCGCACAGAAGCACAAATTAACCAACAGTTGCAATTTTAATATTTACTTTTACACAAATTAAATAAACATTGGTTCTTTTAATATCATGCACACATTATTTTTTTTTTAAAAAATCTGTTCTGACGCACTGTATGAAAATTTTGGTTTTAGTCTGCGTGTGCGAATGTAAAATCTTTCTACTGCAAACAGTAACATAAAAATACACAAGATGGCAGTGCAGGCACTATAGTGGCAAATCAGTGAGCGGTATTATTTTTAATTTCAAGCTACTGCAAGGAAGAAGAAAAAAAGTATTGTGAACAATACTCAGTATATGAGTGCAAATAAATTAATCAGTAAACATTTTTTTATCTTCTCTTTATTTCTTTCCTGCAAATTATTTCCAATTGCATCAGCACACGTTAATTGTTAACACACACACAATGTGCACACATTAAATATTAAAATTCAAATTCTAAGCAGGTTTTAAAAACTTATCACGAGCAAATTTGAACACACACGTAGTACCAGTACTTTTGTTCCTTTCACGTATTAGCTATCATCGTCATCCCTTTCTTCACTCACATCTTTCTCGTTTTCCTCATTCACGTTATCCCTTGGAGGTAAGAAAGGTCTTACTTCCAACCTCCATACATTATCCTTCCAAAGGAGATCATCTTCGGTTCCATCCGAAGCATTTGATATACCAGTTACGTTAAAACTTTTCACAATCACATTGTCGAATATGCTTTTCCACGCAGCAATAATCTACGCACACATTTCTGAGATGGATGCCCTTCTCAGACGGTCAGACGTCCCGTTGCCGTGGTCCTCCCTCCACCGGAAGTCATCCAATTACGGTAGCTCCGTTTGAATGTCATTTTAACTAGCTTGATTATACAAACATCAAGTGGCTGAAGAATGGAAGTTAGACCTCTTGAAATCACAGCAAGGGATCTTCCGCCCTTGTTCATCTACCTGTTCTTGAATGCTGCCCTAATTTACCTTCAATCCAATAGTCTTCCTTCATCGGCAACTAGTGGCTCTTGTTCATTAACAAACCTCTCAAAAGCTAAAAGTCATATCCAAGAATACACAGACTAAAATTTTAAGCAGAATTGAAGTTTCTACTTGTGATCTCATCTCAGATATTATGGATGATCTTGAGACTGTTGACGATATGAAACTAATTTTTCCAAAATACTCAGAAAGTAAAGTTTATTTCTTCGGTCGCTTTGAAACATTGCTGAAATAGTGTTTTGCAGTATAACTTTTTAGAGTTCGAAATATCTTGCCGATTATGAGCTGGGTGCTCCTTTGGTGTTGGTGGAAGGGACTTGACTTTAATGAATTGAAAGTCGTCCAAAAGGCAACATTAAGTGGCAGATTCTTTTCGAAAAGGCATTCTTTCTTTGCATGATTAAATCCCCTCAATGAATAAAGAAATGAGAGATCCAAGCGTTTCTATTACATTTCCACAGAATATTTAACTGCCTCTTATGCACCTTAGATACCCTGAATGGTTGTGGATTCTCAAGATTTATTAGCTGAGGCTTGATTTTGAAATACCGCAAGCAAAATTAAGCTACAAGACGATAATATAGTCTTTAATAAATTTGTGAGCACGCTTTGTATTATTTTCTGCCGTAATGTAGATCTTTTTTGGCATCTATTTCCAAAAATTGGTCTACCTCATTGTAGCTAAAAAACTCAGAAATCACAAATTTTAGAAACTTGTTTGCAAGCATCTCAACTTACAGTATCTCCATGCCCCAAAACTATAGATACCTCTTCTTCTTTTAAAGTAATCAAACCATCCCTGTTGGTATTACGCCTTCTTTGTTTTCTCTCGAGGTAACTGGCAATTTACTAATGAGGCCAGTGTGTAAGACCTTAATCTTT